TAAGCCAATGAGGTGTAGAGGAAAGTATATGTGGCGATGGGGTTCACAACCCTGACCAAGATGGTTCTGTATGGACACTTGACCAAGCAGCAAGGATCCCGACAGCCCACCTCAACCAATTCATCTCCTGCTTGAGGAATGCCTTCTGGAACACCAGAAACTTGCTCACAAACAGACACACGAACCTTGCAATCAAGGTCTGCATTAAAATGGGACTGAGTGAGATGTACTGGTACTACAGGAAAATGGTAGAAGATGACAGGAAAGAGATGACAGACATCATACAGAAGAGAGGGGACTAGCATAGACTGTTCAGAGCAATGATGACAATGGAGATGGCAACGAATATAATGATGAGCAAAAAAGACTGAGGAAACACGTGGGGAAACTGGGAGAGAGGGAGGTGAAAGAAGACAGAGAGGGCACTGAGGTGGTTCTTTGCATAACTGTAATGGTTAAAGGTGACTGTCTCAGTGTGACAGTGCAGTTTTGTAACTGGAATGAGAATGGTGCAACTGTAAAGGTGTGGTTTGGACTGTCAAGTTAACCATAGTGGTCACAAGACAGGCTGGTAGAGGTATGGGTGTGTGTGTGTGTGTATTTATACAGAAATAAATACTTTTGCAGAAAAAAAAAGAGCAAGCATGACTACAAGTGTTATAGGATGCCAATTTTTCAGGTCCTAAGGAGCAATTGAACTGCGCTGTTGGGCTTAGGGCCTGCACATAGGATGCCTGCCATTGGATCTGGGGAATACCCAAAGTCCCAGACTGATTGGTCTAAGAAGGGACAGACTTGCCCAATGGTAGAGCCACGCAGACTTGAACGACTGAGCTCAGTTTAGTTGATTTGGAATTCAGAATGAATTCGGCTTTAAGCCAAAAAACCCCAAAATTTGTACTATGTATATAAAATAAGTATAAAAGTACTATTTAAAAGTGTGCATTGCAGCCACTGGCAGCTGAGTCTGCATGAGATGGGGCACAATGCAGCATGCAGAGTAGCTGTCCTGCCTGCCCGCCTCAGTGAGCTGCTGCGACCACCGTGCCACACTGGGAGGTTTGGGGCAGCTGTCCCAAGCCAAGCCCCCTGCTATGACTGGTGCAGACTAGTGGTACCCTCGTGGCAGCAGCTCATTGTGGCAGGCTGGTGGGATGGCTACTTGGTACACTGCACTGTGCCCCATGTTATGTGAGCCTGGCTGCTGGCAGCTGCAATGCCAATAAGAAGCCAGGGTGGGAGAGGGGGAGAGTAGGGTGGATGCAGGGGGTGGAGTCTGTACACTGCATCCAGTCCAGCTCTGGCAGAGTGAAGCAGGGTATAGCCCTCCCTTTTCAGGGTCTTGGCAGCAGCCAGAAGGCAATATTTTGCCCATTCCTGCTGTAGAGATACTCAGCTGGATGACAGGAACAGGAGTGGATGCTGTGGGTCACCAAGGCTTGAGGATGCTTGGATTGATAAACCTTGAGAGAGAAAATCAAAGGTGTCAAGAGTAATGAAAAGCATGGATTGAAGTGAGTTGACAGTAGGAGTAGGACAGAAAGGAATTTAAGTGGAGGATAGGTTGATGGACTGCCAGGCCAGGAAGAGCAGAGCAACAGGGAAAGGAAGGAGGCCTGTAGGAGTCCTGGCAGTGGCTGATGGAGGAATTCAGGTTTATCTGGAGCTGCAGGTCAAATAGACTGCGAGGGCAAGGAGCCAGGAAGAGGAAAGCAGGAATTTTATTGTTGAAAGTTCTGAGTCACACAGTTCCCATACTACCCACATAAGCCTTGTGGCAGCACAGGCAGTCCTCTTTTTATTTCCTGATTAATAACTCAGTTGTTATTATTATTATCGATTATCTCTGTGATCCTGTCCTAGTGTGTGGGAAGAAGGGGCAGTGGACAAACCCAAAATATCCCAATTTCTCTTTGCAGGACAGTGATTCAACAAAGCACAACTACAGACTCCAAAACATGCAATGCTGTTTATCATGTATATCCCTATGCCTGTACAGTTCCAGCAAATTTACCATTTGGGGTATATGACACCTCTCTTCACAGCTGTGCCCTGGATAGACAGCTTTGCCATGCAGCAGTAAAATACCATGAATTACTGATTGGTTAGAAGGCTATTCAGAACCTTATGGTGACAGTGAAAAGTCAAGAATCGGGTCTTTTCCACGCTATTACTGCTTAAAACCGTAAAAGGGGGCAAAAACTGGATACAGGTGGACTTACTGAAACTGTAATCCAGACAAGACAAGAGTGGATTGTGGTGGGTAGACCATGTGACTTGGGGGGATTGGGAGACCTGTCATTGATGGGGGTGCAACTTCCCTTTGTCACTCATGTTTGCAGCCTTGGAGTGTTCCTGGATCCTTTGCTGCACCTGCATCTTGAGGTGACAGCCACAGCTAGGAGCACGTTTCAAACGAACTATAGCTGATAAGAAGGCTGTGACCCTGTCTCACAGATTCTGATCTGTCCACCAGCCTCCATAACCTCAAGGCTAAAGTACCACAATGCACTCTATGTAGGGCTGCCCTTGAAGACCATCCAGAAGCTGCAGTTGGTACAGAATGCAGCTGTCCGCCTTCTGACAAGGTGGGTCATCAGGAGCACGTGACGCCAGCCTAGCAGTCTGCACTGTTTGCAATAGCATTCTGGGTACAATTCAGGGTGCTGGATTTGATCTAAAGCCCTAAATGATCTATGGTTCCATACCTAAGAAACCACCCTCTCTTTTATGCCCCATCACAATTCTTAAGGTTAGTCAAGAGTGACCTCCTACAGGTACTATCCGCATGCCCAGTCCACTTGGCAAAAGCATGTGGGAGTTCATTCTCTGCTGCTGTTCTTCATCTCTAGAGCTCTCTTCCCCGTGAGGCCTCCCAGAGCCTGAGTCTGGACATCTTTTGGGAGCACTTTTAAGAGTAAGACCTTCCTAGTTGGAAAGACATTCACCCAACAAAACTGGGATGAGATATTGTTTAGGGGCTCTCTGTTGTATTTTGATGATCTAGTTCCCTTTTAAGCTGTTTCAAAATCATAGAAAATGAGGGCTGGAAGGAACCTCAGGAGGTCATTTAGTCCAACCCCCAGCTCAAAGCAGGACCAGCCCCAACTATATCTTTGTTGGTCTTGCTGCTCTCCTGTTTTTAAGTTATCCTATTCTCTAATTGTAAGCTGCCCTGAGCCTTTGTTGCACAGGATGGCATACACATAAATATATGAATGACTAAACATATAGACAAAAAGAGATGGCGAGGGTAGTTGGTGTGGAATAGCTTAACCCCCTCCTCCTCCTGTACAGAAAGAGTAACTCTGTCTCTCAGCTTCAGACTAAAAAAAAAAAAAAAAATCCAATTAATATATTTGGGCCCAAGGCCGG